CCCCCCCGCATGCACCAATTCTTGGCCCTTGATTCTGGAAGGACTGCCCCCCCTAACCTTTCTTCTCCCCCCCCCAACGTGGAGGGTGCATTTTGAACCTGTGGGTCAATGAGTGTGTGGGGGGGTTAGGGCTGGCTGCTTCCCTCGCCTTGCGTCTGCCTTCTCACCTTCTCTCCCTCGAACTCAGGACCCTTGGCCTCCACGCCGGACATCCTGACCCGCATCAAGCAGGAGGGGTCGTACGGCGGCGGGGGTCCCTTCTCCGAGGACAGAGGCCTGGTGGCGGACCCGTGCGCAGGTGATGGGCGACTGGGGGGGGGATGACGTTTGGGGGGCAAAAGGGAAGGGGGGTCCCGGGCTCTGACGCTTCTGCCCAGGGTGGTCGAAAAAGGCAAGATGGCTGCCCCCCCCCCGGCAGAGCTTGGATAGCACCGATGGTTTTAATGTCGGATATTTTCAATTTATGATATCCGGATCCTTTGACAGTATGAGATGGGTGGAGAGAACGGCACGGAAATAATTAACCGTGGCTTGTTTCTGTGGCTTATTCCATTGGATGACCCAGCCTGGTTTAGTTTATATGGACTTCAACTCCCAGAATCCCCCAGCCAGCCTGTTTTAAAATATATGGACTTCAAGTCCCAGAATTCTTTAGCCAGCATGCTTTAAAATATATGGACTTCAACTTGCAGAATTTCCCAGCCACAGTGTTTTACAATATATGGACTTCAACTCCCAGAATTCCTTAGCCAAAATGTTTTAAAATATATGGACTTCAACTCCCAGAATTCTCAAGCCGGCATATTTTAAAATATTATATGGACTTCAACTCCCAGAATTCCCCAGCCAGCTTGCTTTAAAATATATGGACTTCAACTTGCAGAATTTTCCAGCCAGCTTGCTTTAAAATATATGGACTTCAACTCCCAGAATTCCTTAGCCAACATGCTTTAAAATATATGGACTTCAAGTCCCAGAATTCCTCAGCCAGTATACTGGCTAGGGAATTCTGGGAGTTGAAGTCCACCCCTCTTCAAATTGCCAAGGCTGAAGCTCGGTTTACATGTGCAAATTGAATACACAAGGCCAATTGCCTTGGGTGCAAACACGGCGTGATTCTGACACGCGTGTCCTGCTTCGGTGGGCTTGGGGCCGGTGTGTTTGGGCTCTCTGTTCCCTTCTGCCTCTTTGGGGAGAGGGGGGGATCCCCGAAATCTGTCCCGCGAATTGAGCATCCCCTCTCTTCTCCTGCAGGTGGCCAGGCGCTCATGTCCGCCCACGACTTTTTATCCTGGATTAAACAGGAGGAGGATCCGTGTGTCCGACCGCAGTGGGTCCCGTCAGAAAGAGAGACGCTCCCTGTGCAAGGCGGCCCAGGTGAGTCCTCGCCTGACTGACCCCCATCTCTTTTAGTGGAATGCGGTGGGTTGAAATAACACCTCGTCCTAGTTTGGCGACCACAAAGGCGCCCCCCGAAATCTCTGTCGCTCAGCAAGACATTTTGCCCTCTCTTAACAACTTGTCTTGCCACCGTTGTGAAACGATTCACTGCCGCTGTTCAGTTGGCTGTGAAGTGAATTGGGCTTCTCTCTGCGACGCTGCTCGTCCGGAGGTCGCAAAAAGGGGCATTCACGTGACGCCCCAGGACGCTGCGACCGTCGTAAAGACGAGTTGGCCCAGCATCCCAATTTCGGAATCGCATGAGCAAGGGGAGGATGCAACGGTTGTTAAGTGTGAGCTGACCGCTTTGTTCCAGTCCCGTTGTAACTTTGAATGTTCACGTTGTAAGCCGAGGATTAGCTGCTGTTCCAAAAGCAAAAAAGGAATCAATGGTGAAATTGACGGATTTGGCTGGAATTGACCATTTCAAAACATTGTAAGTTCAGAATAATGTTCCAAAGCA